TGTTTTATTTTTTTTTAATTAATATATCTTCCTGGTTCAAACAGTAAAAAGTAAGTCCTTCTACCCCTGGCATCTTTATTTCCCTTTCAAAGAGACATACCATACCAGATTCTTGTATATCTCTAAAAAATGCCCTATATACATAAATGTATCCATATGTACATCAGTGCCATATATAGTAATGCAGACTGTAACAATATACATACATTTTCTGCACCTTTTCTCAAGGGGAAAATATATCATTAGAGTTTGAATATTAAAAGTAAAGTTGGGGGACCAGCAGTTAGCATAATGGCTATGTCGCTGGACTCCCATGTAGTCAACTGTGGTTTGAGTCCTGGACCTGGTGGCTTAAACTCACGCTGGGCGTGTGTGCATGCGTGCCCAAGATCCTGAGAGGAGAATGGAGGAGAAGGGATTGCGGCGTGCCCATCCCCCTGGGGGGTGATTTCTCACTTTCTGTCTGTCTCTGTCTTTCTGGTGAGTGCACACGCCCTATAGCAAAAAAATAAACAGTTAAGTTGGGTATTTTCTATTTGGATTTTCATGTTTAAGTTAACCTATCCTGAATTAAGGGTTCACTGTTTTTTGTTTGTTTCAGATGACTACCTTATTTTCCTATGGGAAAACTATTATGTGTACTGTTTATTATATAATTCATCCATCTTTACTAATTTGAAATAGAACTTTTATCCTATAGTAATTTTCCATATTATTTCAGTATTTTTCCAGGCTCTTAATTCTGTTCTGTTCATTTGATCTGCTTTTCTTTTTATATGAGTCCTACATTGTTTTAATAATTGTAATTTTGAAATATGATTCATGTATTCTTGTTTATTTTTCCATTTGAACTTTTAGCCTGAGTTCCACAAAACAAATTCATTTGTACTTTTTTTTTTTTTTTTTGGACAGGGACAGTTTTAATAACTTAGGGAAATTTGGCATGATTATGTTAAACCTTTTTTATCTAAATTGTGGTGCCCTATGTAAAAATGATACCCTTGTAATTCTGTTATTCCCCCAGATGTATTTTATATTTCACCTTACAAAGATCTTGTCCATTTTATATTTATAAATTTCATCATTTTCACCATTAATATTGCTATTTTTAATGTTTATAGTCTAGCTTAATTTTAGTTCATATAAAGGCTAAGATTTATGTTAATTTTCTACCAGCCACCTGTCTTTTTGTTTGTTTTTTTCTCGAGGGCATGTGCACTTGCACACATGAGAGAGGAAGAAACACCTCCCTGGGGATGGTCACACTGCAGCCTCTTCTCCAACTCTTCCTCCTTTGGGAATTTTGGGCACACTGCCCAGGTTGTTTCCAAAGCCACCAGTCTGAGACTTGAATCGTAGGGTCAGTCATACTAGGTCTAGCCGCCTTAGCAACAGGCCAGAGCTGGCCTGACTTCATTTTCTTAGTCATAATAGCGTTTCAGATAGTTATTTTATGTTTTCTAGTACTCTGTCATGTCACTGCAACCTGTGCTCCAGTTTGCATACCTCTGTGTGTTTAAGTTGTCTACTTCAGAGTAATGTTGACATTGGCTACAATGATCTCAGTGGAGAGAGACACTGCATCATAGTAAATAGTATCCATTGATCCCTATTTCAAAAAATTAAGAATGCATGCTGGGGGACCAGCAGGTGGCATGGTGGTTAAGGCACTGGACACTCCCACATGGCCGACCGCAGTTCAAGTCCTGGAGACCTGGTGGCTTGCTTTCTGACTTTCCTCTCTCTCTCTGTGTGTCTCTCTCTGGTTAAATTAAAATGAATGAATGAATAAATGAATTTTAAAAAAATGCATGTTGAGTTTTATCACATGCCTTTTCAACATTTATGGTGATGACCATATGATTCTTTGATCGTTTAATATCATGAATTCTATTTATATATTTTGTAATCTTAAAGCATCCTTACACTTCTGAAATAAACTGGCCATGTGTATTTTTTAAAATACATTGTTAGACTGTGTTTCGCATTTTATTTAAGATAGTTGTATTTATCGGTGAGGCTAATCTGTAGTTTGTGCTTATATGTGCATATATGTTTTGAGTAGTTTTGTGTTAATATGCTGGTGGGTTTGTAAAGTTTCCTCTTTTTCCTGTGCTCTGAAAGAGTTTAAATAGCATTCAGATTTTCTGTTTCTTAAAATTACAGTGAACTGGGGCCAGAAGGTGGTATGGTGGTTAAGGTCCTGGACCCAACGTGGTCCATCACAGTTGGAGTCCTAGACCCAGCGGCTTGAAAATCACACTGGGCACATGTGCGTTTACTCCCAAAATCCTGAAAGGAGAATAGAGGAGAAAGGATTTTGGGGTGGCCATCCCTACCTCATCCCCCTCAGCCCTGGGGGAAGGGGGGTGATTTCTCACTTTCTCTCTCTCTGTGTCTCTCTGTCTCTCCAGTGAGAGGACACCCCTTGTGGCAAAAAGCTAAAAACATTTATGGGTATGGTGAATATTTGGCAAGTAGTTCTTTAACAGTGTCATTGGTAATTCCTATGGTAGTTGTCCCATGTAGGTTTTGTTCATCTGTTTTGTGTCAGAGCAAGAGGTAGGTTTTATTTGTTTGTGTTTTTGTCTTTTACGAAGTTCACGGTTGTCATCTTTTGCCTCAGTCTCCCAGGACTGCAGGTGCACATCACTGACCCCAGCCTTGTTTAAGCGGGACTGAGATCCAACTACAGGCTTCCCATGTGACCCTAACCTTGCACGATAGTGCCCTGCCACTCACACCCCACGCCAGGCCAGTCTATAGTTCTGTATCTTACCTGAGATCAGGAGCCAGCCATGTCATCCAGGTTTTCAAACATGTGTGCTCAGAGATGAGCCAGATTACCGCTTTTTTATGCCTATGCACTTCCCCCGTGTTACATATCACACTTGCTCCCTGATATTCTTGATTAAGATAGCTAATAGTAGACCTATTTTTTTATTGTTTCCCCCAAAGAGCTTCTTTGATGTCTCTATTCTGTCATTTTTTTCCTTCCTAATTAGATTGTTTCCACTTTAATTAAAGTTTCCTGCCTTTTTGCTTTCCTTGTTCGTTTTTTTCCCTCTTCGAGGAAGCATGTAATTCAAACTTTTATTTCTTAATTGTTGTGAGATGAAGACATGGGCTTAACTCTGAGCACTGCTGAAGCTGAGTCACTTGAGGCATTAGTGTTGGCATTACCATTATTTTCCAGGTGCGATTACGTTTCGATTTCTATTTTCTTTTTAATCCATAGAGTGAATAAAAGGAGCTTTACCCTAGATAATGAGACCTTTTGGTGTAGATGGTGGTTCTATTCTCCAAAAAACCACTATCAAATATACAATGCATTCTTTGGGGATTTATTGTCTCAATGTTTTGTTGGTTTTTGTTCGTGTTTTGTCATAAGATGGGCTTGGCAGAGACAGAGAGAGGGAAAGGGAGAAACCACTCCCCAGAGGGCATGGTCATGCCACAATCCCTTCTACATTCTCCTGTATCTTGGGTGCACTCACACCCAGCCTGAGTTTTAAGCTGCCAGGTCTGGCCTTTGAACTGCAGTCATGTCCACCTCCCTAACCACTATGCTACCTGACTTTCAATTTTTTAAATGTTCCAGGAACATTTTGTTCTAATGTGTATCCTCTGTTTACGATAAAAATTATGCGGCCATCACTCAGATTTGTTGTTCAAAGCTTCTGTGTAGTACTTCGTCCTTTCAGTCAGCCAGAGCACCACCGTTAACAGGAGGAGAAAAAGAAGCTTAGCAGAAGGGTTCCACGGGCCGCAGCCCCTGCCTGCCTGTCGCACAGGAGCGCTGAGACCCAAGCACAGGATTAGGAGAAGAGGCTTTCTGCAGGTCGTGTTTTAGTTCCTGCTACTGCTTACCAACATCGTGCACTGAGGAGCTGGGAACCAGTGTATTCGTAAGATATTACTGAGGACCTACTACAGACCTACTGCAAGCTTTTGCAGCAGTTCTCCGTACTGCCAGCTCCATCCGGTCAGCCTGCTGCATTCTCTCAGGCCCATTCCCCTGAATACCCAGGGCCATAACAGCAGTTTCATAGGACTTGTTTTTTAATTGGTAGATAGAAGCAGACAGACGGAACACCTATTCTCAGAATCATCTGGACCCTTATTCAGGAATAGCTTGTGAATTACATGTGGATATTGACTTGGGCCAAAAGTTGGCATTTCTTTTTCTTTCTTTTTAGATTTTTGTCATAAGGGCTCATGAGCTCCCCAGTGAGAGACTGGAAGAGTTAGATATCACCCCCCTTCCCAGGGGTTGGTCACATGATAATCCCCTCTCCATTCTTTTGGGATTTGGGACACACAAGTATGTTCAACATGGTTTTTTAAGCCTCCAGGTTTGGGACTCGAGCTGAGTCAGCCATGTGGGAATCCACCACCTTATCCACCACTTCACCTGCTGGCCCTGACACTTGTTTTCTACCAGCATTCAAGGTGGTAGGAGGAAACAACGTAAAATTACCATGAATTTTTTTAAAAAGGCACTAGACCAACTGTTAATGTAATGGCTATGTCGCTGAACTCCCATGTACTTGATCACGGTTCGAGTCCCAGACCTGGTGGCTTAAACTCACACTGGGCACGTGTGCGCGCGTGCCCAAGATCCCGAGAGGAGAATGGAAGAGGGATTGTGGCGTGGCCATCCCCTCTGGAGAGTGATTTCTCGCTTTCCTTATCTCTGTCTGTCTCTGTCTTTCTGGCAAGTGTACATGCCCTATAGCAAAAGAAAAAAAAAAAACTCTCCAAAAAAAAATAAGGTAGTAACAGACGTAGCTAATTAACCAGGAATTCTGTAGACTTCAAAGAAATTGTTATGTGTATGTTAAATATCCATATATGATTCACCATTGTGATGTTATAGGATTTTTCTTTAAGAAATCAAACCATTCTGACTTTTTTTATCCATACCTGCCCCTAAGTGTTGGCACGTGTCCCATGTCCACACAAAGTCCATGTCTAAGCATCTTTACCACTTGCTGGTTTTTCATTATAGGAAGGAATGTCGAAAGCAAATATTATTTACCCATTATTGAGTGCCTGACATCTGCCAAGTCCTTTATCTCTGTCTTTGGAATCTTCACAGTCCTGTGAAATAGAAGCTACATCTTATTTATCCAAGGACATGCAGCAAATGAGGGAGGAAAGTTTAACCGTAGTCACATGTGACTTAGTTATCTTGTGACTAAGATGGGTCATGTAGGCCAGCCATGGTGACCCAGTGGGAGCACGCCAGTCACTGCAGTGCTGGGTCCGTACGGGAGAGGGGGGTTCAGTTCCGACTGTACGCACTGGCCTGGCCTGGCTACTTCCACACTTCTGGTTACATGAGGGAATAAGCTTCTATGTATTTAAGATACTACTATTATGTAAGCTCCGTTACTCAGTCTTTACCCACAGGTTAGCATTTCTCACTTATCTACTCATTCTTTTTTGGAGAGGAGGAGGGAGAGATTTTTGCTATAGGGCATGTGTGTTCACCAGAAAGACAGAGACAGAAAGCAAGAAATCATCCCCCAGGGGGGATGGCCATGCCTCAATCCCTTCTCCTCCGTTCTCTTCAATCCTTCCTCCAATCATATTGATGGCCACGCCTCAATCCCTTCTCTTGGAATCTTGGGCATGCATGGACACGCGCCCAGAGTGAGTTTAAGCCACCAGGTATGGGACTCAAACTGTGGTCAATACATGGGAGACCAGCAACATAGCCATTCTGCCATCTGCTGGTCCCACCTACTCATTCTTAAATCAGGAGTAATAACTGGTTTGGAGAATTAAATGTGATCAATACAAGGCAGAACCATGACAGTTAAGTGCTTACAGAAATGCTCACGGATGGCTGCAGTGGATGGCAGAGGTACCGGTAGACTGCTCATCCTTGGTCTTCCAGCAGCAATTCTGTGTCTTCTTAGACTTCCCTATAATATCTCCTCTGAACAAAGGGTTTTGAGAATTAATAAAATTTGAATACTGGGGCCAGCCAGTGGCATAGTGGTTAAGGCACTGGACTCTCACATGCCGACCAGGTTTCGAGTCCTGGACTCTGTGGCTTGAAAATCAAGCAGATTATATGTGTATATGTGCCCAAAATCCTGAGAGGATGGAAAGGGCATTGTGGCTAGGCCATCCCCCTTGGAGGGTGATTTCTCACTTTCCCTCTATCGCTCTAGTGAGTGCACTTGCCCTGCAACAGAACAAAAATTTGAGTATCAGTGTTAGAACCTACAGGACTAAGTACCCAGTGCTCACCCAGGACACTCATGGCTTATTGGTAATGGAGTGCCTTCAAAATGAAAATTGTTTAGAGTGTTTCCAAGTAGTGATATGGAGCTATTCGGATGGGTTTTCCCATGAGTTGAGGGGAGAAGCTCAAGCCCAAAGAAGCTTAAGGTCCTCCTGAAAGTGATATGGAGGCTTTGCTGAGAGCTAATACAGGACAGTGGAACGGAAAAGCATGAGCTTTAGAGTCAGTCATGTCACAGTTCGAATTCGGCTTCTGCCACTTAAGAGTTAATTTTACCTGTAAATAAATTGGTAGATTTTACTAGGCTCAATTTTCTTATCCAGAAAATGGGATTACACTTCCCCTTAAGGGTTACTGAAAGAATAAAAAGGAATAAAACTAAGCAGAAACTTCCTAGAGTCTTAATATATAGAGATTGAAAGTAAGTTTTAATTGTCAGTATTATAGATTCAGTTCCAAATGAAAACAGTCTCTTGTAGAGTTCTTCTCTACCATATGTAACATATTGTGTGTGTGTGTGTGTGTGTGTGTGTGTGTGTGTGTGTATGTAAGTATTATTCTTTTTTGTTTGTTTAATATACTATAAAGTATGTGTGCTTACCCGAGAGAGAGCAAGTGAGAAAGTAAGTCACAAGGTCCGGGACTCAAACTGTAGTCAGCCATGTGGGAATCCAGTGCCCCAACCACCACACCACCAGCTGGCCCCATATAGTGTGTGTGTGTGTGTGTGTGTGTGTGTGTGTGTTTTAAAGAGGTTTTTGTTTTAGCGTGTGTGTACTTGCTGGAGAGAGAGAGAGTGAGAGACAGACACAGTGAGAGGGAAAGTGAGAAATCTCCCCCCAGGAGGATGACCACACTGCCATTCCTTCTCTTTCCTTCTCCTGGGATCCTGGGCACTCACACACATGTGCCCAGCATGATTTTCAAACCACCAGGTCCGGGACTCGAATCAAGGTTAGCCATGTGGGAGTCCAGTGACCTAACTGCTACACCACCTGCTGGTCCCTGCATTGTTTATATGAGCAGAATTGTTGAAAGTGCAAATTTCTTATAGTAGCCTCTGTCCTGATTGCTTGAAGGGGGGGCAACTTAGGGCTATTGCACAGTGAAAAGTAGATTCACTACATAAAGATAGGCTGGGCATTTGGACACAGACCTCTTCCTGTAAAGAAGCCATGGACCACATGGTGGCATGGTACCCAGCACTGTGATACCAGACCCATGTGGGAAGGACCCGTGTTCATGTCCCAAGTCGTTCTTGTACTGCTGTGGGTACAGGTGCATGTGATCGTGGCTGGACTGGACATGAGCTGGACATGGGGCACCCTGTGAGGGCCCTCATGAGGGTCCCTCTGTCTTGCTCACCCTCTGTATCTCTCTGTCTCTCATGGAAGAAATAAATTAAGGGGGGGGAAGCCAAACAGAAGCACCACAGAGTCCCAGAATAGGGAAGAGGAAGTTATTTCCTACAGACTAGGAACACGCGTTGAGCTAATATAAATGACAGAAACCAGGCAGTTATTTCTGTTCAGGAATTATGATAAAAAACCAATATATAAATAATATTAAGAAAACTTTCCCAGGGGCCAGCAGGTGGTGTGGTTGGGGTGCCTGACTCCCACATAGCTGTGGTTCAAATCCAGAACCTTGTGGCTTGCTTCCTCGCTTTCCCTCTCTCTCTGGTGAAATTAAATAATAATAATAACAACAACATTAAATAAATTTTAAAAAACTTTCCTCAATTGCACTACTGTGGGGTCAGTGTTTACCTATATCTATCTAAACCGCTGAGATGTTTCAAGTGAATGTAAAAATATCTTACCTAATTGGGCTTTTATAGGTTCGTGTGCCCAATCTGCCTTACCCTACTTACACAATTTACACCTTGTGTATTTTAGCTACGTTCTCTTCATATTCCCTTTGGTTGGACTTTGCATCGTCATTTTCTATTGAAGATTCTCTATGCCTCTGTCTGACGAGTTGCCGTTAGCGCTCCTGTGTGCTCAGTCACTGCCTGCAGCCATTTCCTTGATGTGGAATAAAAAGAAACACTTACTCATACTTCCTGGGTACCAACCTCAGTACTAGGGGCCTCAAAATACTTCATTTTTAAAAAAATATTTATTTACTTATTTATTCATTTATTGTATTTTGACCAGAGAGAGAGGGAAAGTGAGAAAGCAAGCCTCTAGGTCCAGGACTCAAACCACGGCTGGGAGTCCAGCACCTCGACCACCAGGGCCACCCACTGGCCCCAAAATACTTCACTTCTAGTCCTTCGAACAAGTGTGACAGGAATTGTCCATTCAGATATCAGCAGAACCATCAAAAAGTGCATTTGGCATTGGAATTATACACAGTGTACGTCTTGGAACTTGAACGAATTTGTCCCTGTATTTTGACTTACAGACTAATAGAGGTATTCTACTTTCTGTTTAAGATTTTATTAGCCATAGAGAAAGGATTTCTATTTTACTTTGGAACCATATTTGCTTTATAAAAATAGAAAAAAGGGGCCAGCAGCAGGTGTGGCGGTTAAGGTGCGGAACATGACTGTGGCTTGAGGCCTGGACCTGGTAGCTTACTTTCTCACGTTCTCTTTCTCTTGTGAGCACACGTGCCCTATAGCAAATTTTAAAATAATACAAATAATAAAGTTAAATGATACTTTTTAAAAATGTAAAGATTAGGAAACAACCACTTCACGGTCACCAGGATGGCTATAATCAGACAGGAAATTACAAGTGTTCACACATGTACAGAGAAATGGGAGCCTTCATACCTTTTTGGTGAGCATGTAAGATGGTGTGGCCACTTTGTAAAACAGTCTGGCAGTGCCTCGGCAGTCAAATACAGAGTTACAGTATGACCCAGGCATTCCACTCCCAGATAGATACTCCAAGGACACAAAAATATTTCCACACAAAAAGTATACACAAATGTTTACATCGGCATTGTTTATAAGAGTCAAACACTGGAAGCAAGCCAATGTCTGATTATGAAAATGAAATATATATATATATAAAAATATGAAAATATGAAAACAATCCAATAAACAATATAAAATGTAATATATCTGCAATAGGACATTGTTTGGCAATAAAATGCAATGATGATACATGCTACAACATGGATAAACTTCAAAAACACTCTAAGACAGAAAAGGGTCACCAGCTGTATAGTCCATGCACATGGAAAGTTCCAGCAGAGACAACTCTGTGGAGACAAAGGAGATGAGTGGCTGCTTAGATGTAAGGAAGGGGAAATTTGAGAGAACGTAATGTCAGAGAAAAATTGCACTGGATGGAGTTAAGCAGGCAAGGAAGACTATTTAAGACTATTGCAATAGAGGGGAGAGAATTCAGTCCTGCCGAAAGGCAGTTCTGAATTATTTTATTCATTATTATTATTTTTCTTTCATTTTACCAGAGGAGAGACAGAGAGCGGATAAGTGAGACAGCAAGCCACAGGGTCCAGGACTTGAACCACAGTCGTGGCGGTTAAGGTGCGGAACATGACTGTGGCTTGAGGCCTGGACCTGGTAGCTTACTTTCTCACGTTCTCTTTCTCTTGTGAGCACACGTGCCCTATAGCAAATTTTAAAATAATACAAATAATAAAGTTAAATGATACTTTTTAAAAATGTAAAGATTAGGAAACAACCACTTCACGGTCACCAGGATGGCTATAATCAGACAGGAAATTACAAGTGTTCACACATGTACAGAGAAATGGGAGCCTTCATACCTTTTTGGTGAGCATGTAAGATGGTGTGGCCACTTTGTAAAACAGTCTGGCAGTGCCTCGGCAGTCAAATACAGAGTTACAGTATGACCCAGGCATTCCACTCCCAGATAGATACTCCAAGGACACAAAAATATTTCCACACAAAAAGTATACACAAATGTTTACATCGGCATTGTTTATAAGAGTCAAACACTGGAAGCAAGCCAATGTCTGATTATGAAAATGAAATATATATATATATAAAAATATGAAAATATGAAAACAATCCAATAAACAATATAAAATGTAATATATCTGCAATAGGACATTGTTTGGCAATAAAATGCAATGATGATACATGCTACAACATGGATAAACTTCAAAAACACTCTAAGACAGAAAAGGGTCACCAGCTGTATAGTCCATGCACATGGAAAGTTCCAGCAGAGACAACTCTGTGGAGACAAAGGAGATGAGTGGCTGCTTAGATGTAAGGAAGGGGAAATTTGAGAGAACGTAATGTCAGAGAAAAATTGCACTGGATGGAGTTAAGCAGGCAAGGAAGACTATTTAAGACTATTGCAATAGAGGGGAGAGAATTCAGTCCTGCCGAAAGGCAGTTCTGAATTATTTTATTCATTATTATTATTTTTCTTTCATTTTACCAGAGGAGAGACAGAGAGCGGATAAGTGAGACAGCAAGCCACAGGGTCCAGGACTTGAACCACAGTCGACCATGTGGGAGTCCAGTACCTTAAACACCAAGGCCACCCATTGGCAAGCTTTAAAGCACTGGAGTGAGCTGGTGGCAGAGCACAGGAGGGTGTTAGCACAGAGCTGGACACTGCCTTCCCTGATCATTGCATTTTAAGAGATCATTGACAAAGAAATTTCTAGTTGTAAAACTCGCAAAAGCTGAGAAGAGGATATACTACATTTTAAAGAGGTAAAGAATGAATTTTGGGACCAGCAGTTAGTGTAATGGCTATGTTGCTGAATTCCCATGTAGTCGACAGCAGTTTGAGTCCCGTACCCGGTGGCTTAAACTCACATTGGGCACGTGTGCGTGCGTGCCCGCCCAAGATTCCGAGAGGAGAATGGAGAAGGGATTGTGGCGGGGTCATCCCCCCGGAGAGTGATTTCTCGCTTTCTGTCTCTCTGTCTCTGTCTGTCTTTCTGGCGAGCGCGTGCACCCTATAGCAAAAATCTCTCTAAAAAAATAAAAAGGTTAAGAATGAATTTTGACTGTTTCCTGTTGTCAGAGGGTGCACGTGCTCACCAGAGGGAGAGAAATCACCCTCAGTGGTGCATGGCCACACCACCGTCCTTCTCCATCACACCATCCCGTTGGAATTTCTTGCACACATACATGTGCCCGGTATGTTTTTCAAGCCACCAGGGATTCAAACCTTCCCAACCATGTGGGATCCAGCTCCCTATACAGAGTAAAACTAGAAAAGTGGGGTCAAGAGCCTATAATCAGAAAGAAACCTATCTAAAATTGTCTCAAGATGAGAACATTAATGTTGTCTTGGTCAATGACGACTCAGATTCTTTTGGGGATAACAAATATGTTTTAAAATTAGACTAAATGAAGGTTGCAAAACTGTATACGCTAAAAGCTATTACATTGTACACGTTAAGTAGATCAACTTTATATAGTATGTGACCATCTCAATAAAGCTGTTTTTAAAATATCAGAGGACAAAAATACAAATAATATCCATTTATTTCCATTGTTTTTAGAATTGGATGAAACTATTCCATTATAAATGACTTTGCTTATTCTGCAGGAGAAAAGCAGTAGCTTTATCAAATTAAAGTTATAGAAAATCCTGCCTGTCTTCATTTATTTAGTCAGCATATAGAGTAGTGGCTGTGGGAACTGTCAGTCAAAAGTCTCTTCTAATGGGACCAGCAGTTAGCATAATGGCTATGTCACTGGACTCCCATGTAGCCGACAGCGGTTCAAGTCCCAGACATGGTGGCTTAAACTCACACCGGACGCATGTGTGTGCGTGCCCAAGATCCCAAGAGGAGAATGGAGGAGAAGGGATTGAAGCATGGCCATCCCCCTTGGGGGGTGATTTCTCGCCTTCCGTCTCTCTGTCTGTCTCTGTCTGTCTGGGGAATGCACACGCCCTATAGCAAAAACCTCACCAAAATAAAAGAGTCTCCTCTAAGTAATGTATTACTTCTAAGTGAACCTTTGGGAGCCTTAGTTTCACATCCGTAGAACAGAGGTAGGGCCAGGCTGGCGCAGCAGTAGTGCAACTGGACCCACATGGAAAGGTCCTAGGTCCAGTCTCAGGCCCTCGGGGAGCGAACTTGGCATGCACACCTGCCAGTAGTCTGGGCCAGCTGGGACGGGCTAGATCACCACGTGAGGACCCTGTGGGGGATGCCTGTCTCTCTGTCTGTCTGTCTCTCTTAGAAGAAATAAATGAATACACTTTTTTTTTTTTTAATGGAGGTGTCTGGGCCAGCAGGGGGCATGATGGTTAAGGTCCTTGATCCCACACAGTAACTCCGCAGTTTGGTTCCAGACCTGGCAGCTTTTAAAACCTGGGTGCATGGGTAAGCAAATCTGGAGGGGAGAATAGAGGGGAGAGGATTGTGATGTGACCTGCCCACCTAGGGGATGATTTTTCATTTTTCCTCTTTCTCTTCTCTCTCTGATGAGTGCACATGCCCTGTGGGGGGGGGGGGGGGGGGGGGATGGACGTTATTTCCCACCTCATGGAGTTCTTGTACAGATGAGCTCAAAGATATGAAGGTGATAGCCTGGTACCTAGCATTCGAATTCAACAACTATTTTACAAATACTGCGGAGGAGTACCAAATGCCAGCTTTGTTCAAACTAGTGCTAGCCTTGACGTGAGCATCCTGAGCCCTGCTTCAAACGGCCCCTTCCTGGCAGGCCTCTGCTACATGCCTCCCTAAGGACAGGGAATCCGTAAGGTTAGCGGGGGAGACATGAGTGCTCCCACACCTTGTGTGGCTTGAGCCAACATGCAGGGCCAACCTGACCCCTTCGCTGAGTCTGTCTCCCCGGAGTGGATGGAACCAGCGGCACATACCCCAGGGGATTGAGGAGCTGTGATGGAACATGGCCGAGTGGTCTGGGATGTCCACGTCCAAGGGCCCAAGGCCTCTCACAGGATAGGGAAGGGCCTGGAGTGGGAAGAGAAAGGGTGGGAGTTTACCATTGTTTACCATCCATACTCTTTTTTAAATCTCTTTCTTTACTTATTTTTGGAGAGTTTTTTCGTTTTGTTTTGTTTTGTTCTTTTGCTATAGGGTGCATACATTAGCCAGAAAGAAAGCAAGAAATCACCCCCCCAGTGGGAATGGCCACGCCGCAATCCCTTCTCCTCCACTCTCCTCTCAGGATCTTGGGCACGCACACACACACACACACACACACCTGGCATGAGTTTAAGTCACTGGGTCCAGGATTCGAACCACAGTTGACTACATGGGAGTCCAGCGACATAGCCATTACTCCAACTGCTGGTCCCACCATCCGTACTCTTGTCCTGGGCACTGCCAAGGTTAGCAGCAGGCCCGGTTCTGGCACTTGGAAATAAAACAGTAACCAGAACAAAGGTGAATCCTATTAAAAACACGAAATGACTTCTGCTCATTGGAAGAATACAGTCCATCTAGCTCTTTTCTCTTCTCTTGAAGCAAAAATCCATTTAACCTGAAGTACACAGCTCTGGCTCTGACAATCTTTCCTCTTTAAGACTGTCTGGCTTTCATGACAATAAGTAAAATATTGTTGCTTCAAATAATTGTGCATTTCCAATTAATGCTCTTTTTCATTCTCCTAAAACCGCATTGCAAAGTAAATCCATTATGACAATAAGATGATTTTTCTAAAAAAAATGATTCACACAGATTTCCTACATATCATGTAGAATACATTTCCAAAGAAAAATGTAGAAATGAAAAAAACAGGAATCAAGGAAAAGGGGGGGAATGTGATTTGGGGGAATAAGAGAAGAATTTTAAAGATATTTCAAAATTTTATACTGAACAGCTTATTTCTCTCAACAAATGTGGTTAGTTCTATCCTTATTATAAATGTCACTCACATTTTTACATTTCCCTGAATGCCTATGTATACTTTGAGTATATTTAATGTAGTCCAATAGAGTTGATACGCCTGGGCTATGTGAATCAAATTGTATGTGAACTGTGTGATATTTAAAAGGCAGGGTGAAGCTTATTATTCAAAGAACTCCCATTAGTAAACTTTTTAAAAGTGAATAATCATGCTCAATCTATATGCTCTTTAAAGTGAAAGCTTTGTTTAACATGCAGAATACATTGTGTAGACCTAGAAAGCCATAATTTTATAATGTGAAACTGAACTTGAACTTACAAATGTCTACAAAAGGACTCAAGGGAACAAAGAAAAGATGTATTGCTTAAGGGAACAGAGAAAAAGTCTGTTTTCCTTTCCCATTTTGAAAAAGGATACAACTATATATGAATATAGATAATAAAATCGCCAGGAATGACACCAGTTTTTAACAGCAAATTGCTGGCCATCCAAGAAATAGTTGGTCTTTTCAACACGCCATCTAGTGGTTAATTTCAGCACTACAGCTATATATTCTGCAACACAATTATTTCAGTAACTGTTTTTCATTACGTGCAAATGCGCTTCCTTGGAGTTCAAAGTGCAAATTGAAAAGCAAAAGACCGTCAGATTGAATTTTGGGATCCAAAGACTTTTTAAAAATTCCATTCATTATTTTTATTATTTTTTTTTTTTTGGAAGTTGACCAGTGAGAGAGAGAAGGAAAGTGAGAAAGCAAGCTGCCAGGTCCAGAATTCAAACCGCAGTCAGCCATGTGGGAGTCCAGCTGTCTTAACCACCACACCACCTGCTGGCCCCCTCCAAAGACATTTTAAAGAGACTCTTAACTGTATCTGTATCAATATGGACCAAATGCTAAAATCTCATCAGTTTCACACTGTCATATCAACAAGATGAAAATGAAATTAGTGAGCTTTTCTTAGTCACCACCATGCTCTGTAATAGGTCTCTGGGAAAGATATAGCTCATACTTGGGCCAGCAGGTTAAGGTGGTGATTAAGGTGCAGGATCCCACATGGCCAACTCCGCAGTTCGAGTCCTGGACCTGGCAGGTTAAGAAGAAAGTTGGTAAAATATGGGTAGTCAAAGAGCTAGTTTTGCTGAAATAATATATAACATGTGTGGTGCTATGGACTTTAAATGAATGATCTCATTAGAGTTTCTAGTCATCTATGGGTTGGTACCACTGTTAGGGGAAAGCAAGAGCCTTAGAGTAGGTAAGAAAATTACCAGGTCCAGCTCCTTGGCACCGCAGTAATGTCCTGCTCAAGAGAAGCCAGTACCCGCTGGCGTCTGTGCTTCAAATTCCTAGAACAGTCAGCCTGAAACACACCAAGCATGTGTCCAAGTGCCCAAGATTCAATGGGCTGAAGAACTGAAGGAGGGGACCATGGCATGACCAGACCCTGTGGAGGGGACACCTCTCTTTCTCTCTCATCTCTCATGTGCACATGTATGTGCTCTATCATGAATAAAGAAAAAAATTAGAATTCTTTAATTCTATTGATTATTATTATTTTAATTTGTTATAGGGCATGTGTGTTCAGAGAGAGAGAGAGAAAGTGAGAAAGCAAGCTGCCAGGTCCTAGACTCAAACAGCGGTTGGCTACGTGGAAGTCCAGTGCCTCAACTACCACACCACTTTCTGTCCCCAAGGGAAAAAAAAAATTAAGGTTATTAAAGGATACACACATAATAGATAATAAGTAGTGATTAAAACCCACATCAGTTTGGCTTCTAAGAACAAACTCATTTATTCAATATTTTATTTTACTTTACTATATACTCTTTCTAATTAAGGAAGCGCTTCTATTATTTCCCTGAGTGTGATTATTTGCTGGAATATAGGCTAAGGAGGCTCAGAAGAACTTGGAAATTGTGAAACAGTAGGAGTGGGTTAAGGAGCAGGATTTCTGGAAGCATGGATTGGTGCTGCTGGTGGAAGGGGCAGAATGAACCCATGAGCAGAGCCTGCTGTTCCCGCACCTCACTTAAGAGGGCAGCACCTTTTCACTCAAGGACAGCAGTGATGGGCAGGCACTATGATACAGGCTAAATTACAGTCCCCTGTGATAGCCAGGTTCTTGTCCCTGGAAACCAGATTTTCCTTTAGATGGTGAAAGGGACCTTGCAGATAAGATTGACATTTAGGAATCTTTTTAAAAATGAAATCTATGACCACTGGAGTGGCCATTTTTGTTGCTGCTTTTTCATTCCTGATAGAGCATGTGTGTTTTCAGGCCAACTGGACTTGGGACTAGAACTACAGAAGCTGGCCCTAAATTTAGAATTTTGAAATGAAGAGATTATCCTGGGTTACCCAGGTGAACCTAAACATAATAACAAGTGTGGTTTTGTTTGTTTTGTTTTTTGTTTGTTTGTTTTAGGTTTTTGTCATAGGGTATGTGTGCTCACCAGAGAGAGACAGAAATAGTGAGATGGAAAGTGAAATCAGTCCCCGGGCAGAGGACCATGTCCCAGTCCCTTCCCTTCCGTTCTCTTATCAGGATTTTAGGCATGCACACACACATGCCCTGTGTGATTTGCCAGCCACCAGGTCCGGGAATCTACAGCTCCTTAACTGCCATGCCATTTGCTGACCCCACAGTTGTCCTTTTAAGAAGGAAGTTGAGGGAGATGACAGGAAAGAGGAGAGGTGATGTGATTATGGAGGTAAAGGATGGAGCAAAGTGACCACAGTCAGTAAAGCTAGCAGCCACCAAGAACTGGAAGAGTCCAGGAAACTGATTCTTCCCTTCAGAGTCTCCAGAAAGACCTGGCCCTATCAGCACCTTGATTATAAGCCAGTGACACTGATTTTGGATTCTGACCTCCACAGATGTAAGAGAATAAGTTTATATTTTTCAGACCACCAGGTTTGTGGTAATCTGTTTCAGTGGCCATAGGAAACGAGTATCACAATGAGAGCCGACATGGCCAGGATGTGCTAGAAACTGCCAGTTCAGCATCAGGGTATTTTTTTTTTCTTTTTTTGGAGAGGTTTTTGCTATAGGACATGTGCACTCTCCAGAAAGACAGAGAGAGACAGAGAGACAGAAAGCGAGAAATCATCCCTCAGGGGGATGGCCACATCGCAATCCCTTCTCCTCCATTCTCCTTTCGGGATCTTGGGCACGCATGCAAACGCACCTGGCGTGAGTTGAAGCCACTGGGTCCAGGACTCGATCTGGGTCCAGGACTCGATCCACAGTCAGCTACATGGGAGTCCAGCGACATAGCCATTACACTAACTGCTGGTCCCAATCAGGGTATTTTTAAAAATTATTTCAATTTCTTTTATACATTCAATCATGCTATTTAGCTTGCAAAGTGAATATTCTAACGTGTACATTTCACACCAGTCCAGTTGACAATACTATAAAGTTATCTTCAACAGATAATAACCCATGTCTTTGTACCATAAATGCCTTGCCTCTCTATTTTTCTCCTTAATGTCCTTCCTCAGACTCTACTCCTTCACCCACCCTCTTCCCACCCTATATCTGGTATTCACAACCATTTACTGTGTTTCTGTATCCTTTAGTCATTCAGTTTTGGTCATAGAGTGTAGACACTAAATATATATTAAGTGGAGACATACGATGTCTCTCCTTCATAGCCTGGCTTGCTTCACTCAGCAGTAAATCTTCCATATTCATCCACTTTCTGTCAAAAAGCAGGGTCTTGTGTTTTTTTTTATGGCTGAGTAGTATTCCGTAGTGCATATGCACCACAGTTTTTCAATCCATTCATCTGTTCGTGGGCATTTGGGTTGGTTCCATGTCTTAGCAATTGTGAATAATGCCGCAGTAAACATCGATGTGCAAGCACTTTTCTGATTAAGAATTCTTCTGTACTTTGAGTAGATACCAAGAAGTGGGATTACAGGATTATATGGTAGTTCTATTTGTAGAGAAAAAAATTCCTGGAAGTAATATATGAATACAGTAAAGTTGCAGGATACAAAATCAACATCCCAAATCTATGGCATTTCTATATACAAACAGCAGGCAAATTGAGATAATACTGAAAAAAGTAATTCCATTTATGATAGCCACAAAA